CTGAAGGTAGAGGTATTCAGGCCCTTCACCTGAATTCTTTGCATGCGTGAATCATCCAAAAACCAACTTAAAGTGGACCCGCTTTGTACAATTCACATTTCCTCTGTAGAAGCCAGTGAAGGTGGCTCCGGCCTCTGGTTAGGATGCCTCCCTAGTTTCTCTCTTTGCAGGTTTCCAGTCACACCCAACTGGGACGAGATGCTGGAGTAGACCCAGAAACAGCTAGAGAGACGATACATCTCATCTGGTCTGGGAATACCTCAGGATCTCCAGGAAGAACAGAAAGTTTTGCTACCCTTTAAAGCCTAAACTGTCCTCTGACTGGCTGGCTGGATAGGGCTCCTGACTTCATACAGATATGAAGTTCAAATAAACCGACAGCAAAATGTTTCTAAAGTCTCAATGGAGAAGTGTTTGTTCTGTTATAAAATGATAAATTAGCATGTTTAGGGGCTTTTGTGACACTGCATTTTATGAGGGAAATTTAGGCAGCATTTTACTGCAAAACACAGAGGACAGGCTGCACTGGAGGTTGCCAGATTAATATGAGAAGATTAATGTGAGAGGGAAGAATTTAAAGTATTGCTGCACAGATCTGTGTTCTTTAGTTACATATTTAAGTTTATAGTGCAAAGCAGCCCTAGTCTAATATTTCACAAAGTGTTGTGCTATATAAGATTAGTATATGTTTTGTTGTATTAGATAAATTAACTACAACTGATGTTGTTCAGTATAAGTTAATAATAAGTACCAACAAGTATAGTGCTTGAATAAATGTGCTAATAAATTATTGCCTTCCCCTGGCTGTAGCTCTATCATTAATCATTAGACTTTCTCTGCTCACAAGAGGGCAGAAAATGGCTTCCACAGGCCTGTATGGTTTGCAGTTAATTTCATTCATTCTGGGGCATAAAGACATGCTTGTCCAGCAGCTCGAAGTGAAGAAAAACATTGTACAGGGAAGCCAAACTGTCACGGTCCCCGTGTCTCTCTGGTTGGCCCACGCTGGCTACAGGTTTTGTTGTTGTTAGTTTTGGTTTTTTGTCTCTCCTCCTCCTCTCTGCCTGGGTGGAGCTCATTACGGGCTCTCACTCTTGGCCCACGCACCCGTGTGATGGTGTCCACCTGCGGCTGATCTGGCTGATTTCCCCAGCTGCTATTTAAGGCAGTGGCACAGAGCAGCTCACCGCTGGAACGTCGAACCACCTGAGTTCGTGCTCGCGGCATATTCAAAGAAGAATCGCTTACATGTGTTTTATGTTGTGGAACTAACCTTGACCTTCTGTCTGTAGATTCTGGACCGAATCACCGGACCTGTCCAAGTGGGGCAGTGTGTGGAGTGTTGGAGCGAGTGCGGCTGAAGAGGAGTGCGTGTGTGTGGAGGAGCGGTGGCGGTGACTGAGTGGAAGAGGAAGCGTGTGTGTGGATCCCCCCCCTTCTCTCCCTGGAGCCCTGGACCCCCTCCCAACTCACTGTACATATATTTTGCACTAAGGTGATCCCTATTGTAAATAAATCCCCTTTTTGTTTCCTTGAAAGAACTGTCTGCGCGTGAGTCCGTTCAGTAGCCATGACACAAACGAAAGCATTTATGTACAGGAAGTCTTTTACAGAGTAAAACCTCATTCTAATTTTCTGCAAAAACCCTTCTTTATACTCCTTATTATCAAAGTAACCGTGGAAACTGGAGGTATTAGGATGCACAGGATAGAAACAAAAGTCTACCATGCTGATTTGGACACTGACTTAATAGCAATTGGTGAGAATAAATGTGATGCAATATGAAGAAAAAAAAAACTATTAAAGATTCATTAATTGACACTCATCACCAAGCTTAAAGGCAAATTCAGAGGAAAAAACACTCACCCAGGAATGTTTGGATAGCGTGCAGAGCCTGCTGGTCGGTCACCAGCTCAGAGATGATTGTCAGCTCGCTGCTCTGGCTGTAGTCGAAGGCTTGTTTACAGGCAGTCTTCGCTCCAAGACATTTAGCCTCGCTGTGGAGAGGCAGTAGGTTTGATGGATGAGGGTACGTTCGAAACACTTCATTGCAAAAAACTTTTAAACTCCTTTAAAGTCAAACCTGGTGATGTCATCTAAAGTGACCAACTTCCCCGCTTTAATTGCAGCATTGAAACAGTGTGCCCCCACTGTTTCCATCGCGACGATGGGCACGTCTGTCCAGCCCACATCCTTGAGGCCCTGGATGACCCCACACAGGAGGCCCCCTCCGCCCACAGACACCACCACAGCTCCGGGCTTCACGCTGGGACCCAGAGAGGCAGTGACCTCTGCAATCATACTGGCGTGGCCTTCCCTGTATGGGTGAGTGTGTGGACACAGGTACAGTTTGAAAGTGAGTCGTTTTAAAGTGCTCTGTGCTTTAATGAGGAGGTTCTCTACCATAGCAAGGGGTGATCGAATGGAGCAACATAAGTAAGCCCTTCAGTTTCTGCCAGTTTGAGAGCCTCTGTGTTGGCATCATCCCAAACCTGCAAAGATAAGAGTCTTAGTCTTCTTTAAAAAAAAATAAATCTAAATTCTGGATTTTAAACCATCATATCAGTGAGCTTCACCTTGCCTACAATTCTGACAGTAGCACCCTGATCATGGAGTCTCTGGACCACCAATGGAGGAGTGGAGGAGGGAACTATGATGGTGGCTGGCACGCCCATTTTTTGGGCGGCATATGCTGCAGCCATACCTGCATTACCACCTGAAAAAACACCACCTTCAATACTAAAGAAACACACTAATGACACTGCATTGTAATGAGAATATGATGTTTAACAGGACAGAGTCACCTGAAGAGCAGATTACTCCTTTGGAGTGTCTGGCGAGCTGCAACGACACATTAAACAGTCACTGTGTGACAATGTGGATCTGAAGAAAGGGAGCACGCGTGAGGGGGGCTGTAAAGATTCCCACCTGCTGGCAGAGGTGCCCGATGCCACGGATCTTGAAGGAACCAGAGGGCTGTGCATTCTCCATTTTTAGATAGACAGTGGTTCCCACCCTCTTGGACATGTTGATGCTCTCCAGCAGCGGTGTCTTCAGGTGGAAAACCTCTGCCATGGTGCACCTAGATGCCAATGAAAGAGAAGCAGTAAAAACTCCACAGGGTGCAAGTGGGTGGTACAGTGGAAAAGTTGTTCATCTTTTATACACATTTTCATCTTCTGTTAAGTTTATTGGTAGTCAGAGCACAACTATCACCAGCTCTCAGATTGCAGTGCTGAAGAAAGAGAAGAAACAAAGAAGTTGCCTCTGCACAATTTGTGTTAATTTAAGGCACTGAACTCTTGAGTCATTTTTCATTGGTAGACTGTCTTTCACATGTAATTTCACTTTAATCTTTCTGATCTGATTTAAAATCAACTGCATCATATTTTATTAGTAACCATGAGAATATCACCCCCCCTTCTCTGTGTACTGTATTCACCTACTGTGAATATTGTAACTTTGATTTTTCTAATCTCATCTATTCTGTTTATTACTGCACAAATCATTTCTCCCACTTTCCACCGAAATCTGTAAAACCACCATCCTTCACTTCCTTCCTTCCATTGTTGTTGCCACCTTCAGTTTCTGCTTCTTTCCTGATAAACCCGAGTGTTAAATTATTTTCCTTGGCTTCCTTCGAAACCTAATCTCACATTTTCCAATGATACCAAACGTGCCAGAGCACATAAAAACACCCCAATGTGTGAATTCTTTAGTATTTCTCTTGGAATGCCTGGTCTATTGCCTGTGTAAATACACTGTAAATGGGTTCGTTTTTAATATTAACTACTATCACCGTTTGAATTATGTACCAAGCATGGGCAGTGTTGCTTTCAATAATAAAATAAAATGTCCAAAGTGGAAAATCAGGTATTTATATTCTTCACTTTAATCTTCAGCAGCTCTCTTTAGGGGTCGAATCTTCTCGCCTCTGTGGCAGCAAAACCTGTCTGCCAGCGGGACTTTATTAACACAACAAAGCAATAATTAACATAAAGCGTCCGAAATGCTACGTTGTAATTTGGGATATCAAATACAAACCATTATATAAACCTCTGACTTACGTTCGGTTAAAATGTCTTCGTGAATGAGCCCCGCAACAAAAATTAATCAACTGTTTTCTTTTGGAAAATGTATTACAGTTTCACCAGACGCTACGCTACATACGAATGTAGCACATTGTACCGGAAAAGCATCCAATAGTAACAAGACTACTTCCGGTCACTGCTTCAAAATAAGTGTTTGATTAAAACCAATGACTGTAGAAACTTAAAGTGAATTTACTGCTGGAAACAAGATTATATTACGTTTGCCTAAAATAAACTTAAACTAAGTGTAAAAAAAAAAAAAGCATTTTAGACAAATAAAATTACAAGATAACAAAACTAAATAACATAATTGTCTAAAAAGTGTCTTAACAATTCGTCAGTTTCGCCAACTATGTCAGCACACCAACTCTGAGCCAGCATGTAGGCATGTAAACTGGGTTTTTACATGAGTATGAGTATGTGTGTTAGTAGTGTTTTGTAATTTTGTACAGTTCTGAACTCATCAAACAACATCCATTTCACAGTGAATACATTCTAAACTCCAACTAATAAAACTAACTGAAGTGAACAGTTTAACAATAAGAACTAAACTGGAAAACTGCCCAGCTAACTCACCTGATTTTGAAATTTCCCAACAGATCGGTTTGTTTTTTGAAATTACAAAATAAAAGGCTGACAGTTTTCTGTAGTTCAGTTCCTGCATTAGAGTTAAATTACATAACAAACGCCACAGTAATTGAATTTAGGATTTTAATCTGGAAAAATTTTACGACTGAAGAGCTTTCTGTCGGTGCTGGCTCTCCTGAATGACCTTTGAACTTTAAGTCCCATCTAAAGTCCACGGTTTATTACTTGAGGCTTGTAATTATGTAAGCTCACGTGTGTCTGCCTGTAACTGTTCCAGCTGTGCATTGTTTGACAAAAAAAAAACAACGAGCTGAGTCATTGTTATTTTTCTCTGTAGGGATTATAATTTCTTTATTAATATTGTACAGTAGCTGTATAGTTACAGTTTGCATATACACAAAGTGATGGTAAGCACTTCTCAGAACAATATCTCACTCTCACACCAAACATCACTCATCTTATTGCTTCATATTTTACACAGCTCGTGCTGAAGAAAACGGCGCTTTATTTTGTGGCAAACCTTTCCTGTACACTAGGTGGCAGCAGTGAGCAGCACCAGCACTGACACATGAAAAGAAACAGGAGCAGCGTGTGCTAGTAATGAGAAAAATAATAATAGAAAGCAATGTTTTGTTTTAAATAAAGCAATATAAATCAGGGCCAGAAGCAGAAGCAGTGGAAGCAGTTCTTCCTCCACTCACGGCTAATTTAGCCCCATTTCAACACTGACACAGGTTCTCTTTCCCAGGCCAGAATTAGGCTTTCCTTGAAGCCACCTTTCTGAGCAGCCACAGGACCTTTAATTTAACACATTTAACAGCAGATTGACAGAGTAGCGTTTAATTAATGGGTTAATCGTCAGTTTTTACATGAGGGTCGGTATCTTTAGTCTGAAGAAAAATATGCAACAACTAGCAGCATTTTTTTTATCTCCTCTAAATAAAAGTATCACCCATCCTTCACTTTCACACCCTTTTCTCCTCATTCTTGTTTTCCTTCCTCTTTTCCCCCTTTCTCCTCCTTTACCCTCAACAACCATTTTGGCAGTTGAACACATGTACATGTGAGAGCGTGCATTCATCCCATAATAGTTGACAAATGCTTGAATGTCAGATTATGAACTCAGAAACAGCCCATTATTCTGACTTGACTTCAAACCTTTTTGCTTCACCGTGCGTGGGTGGATGCAGATCCCAGCTTCCACGTGTCACAGTCTTGTGGTTGCACTTCCAACTCTTTTCCTCTGATTCATTTTCTGCCGAAACCTGACTCCCATTAACGTTGTTTACCCTCCCCTCACTTTCCTCTTTCCAGCTCCACTTTCACATTTCACATCTCACACGTACTTTCAGCCTGTAAATTTACTGCATTTACAAACCTTCACGCCGTGCAGCGTGAAGGTGTTTCCACTGTAGCTGAGAAAGAGCGCATTCCTTTGCTATGTCGCTGATGAGGCTGGCATTATTTTAAATTAACACAGTACAAAAATAAAGCGACATTTAAAGAATATTTGGAGAATATCAGACAGAGCTTTATGACTCCAAGCTCATTGTTTCATATTTTAAGCTGCGTGGAGCTTTAAAAAAGCTTTAATTGCTTTTTTAATACTCTTTTTTTTTCATTCAGCATTTCTCATGCAGCTGAACACTTTGAGCTATGAATTTACGTCAGCTCTGCAACATCTCGGTGAAAATGCACACTGCATCTATCACGATTTGGCTCTGTTGCATCCACACAAATAGAAGAAAGTGGCTCCATCTTTGTCCTCCCCTCATTCTGCTCCTTCTTCTCCTTCTTCTTCTTCTTTCCTGCATGCATGCCCCCTCTGCGAGCATGAGGCGCCTGATCTGGGCTTTATGCCAGTGAGCGTTGTCTGGGTTTGATCCTTGGATACAGCTGCAGAGAAAACAAGACAGACACAGAGAGCTAGAAAGAGCAAGCGAGGATGTAGGTGAGGTCACAACATCATGTCAACATGTTCTCAAGGTGCCTGAACATCTGAAGGCCAGCAGACTGAGGGGCATCGTGTGGGAAGAAGGTCTTCCTGCATTTGCATGTTATCTGTGTGGTATAAACTGAACAGAACATAGGACAGACAGGTACTTGACATACTCTTGCTGCTCTTTTACACCATCTATGTGACGCCAAGAGTTGGATGGGGCAAACTTTTCTGCAGTTAAATACCTCAAAATCAGAAATCTCATCTTTTCTAAGTGTCCTTGACGTCTTATATGCTAACATGAAACCAGCTGCTTGAAACTTCAGAGCAGAATTTCAGTCAGCCCTAACCTTTGAATAAAACTGGACTATTCTTTGAAATAAAATCCTTGTCAAACACACATGAAAAGTTTCTCTCTTGCCTCCCACAGAGCAGCATCTCCACTTCCTACTTTCACATAACCCCTAATCTGGCTTCTCTCCACTGGCCTTCTGTATGTCTTAGAGTTGATTTTATGATTTGCTGCTACATGGCACAACTGTTGGCACCATATGAATATGTTTACAGGCTTAGATCCTCAGCTGGGTCCTCCTGGCACTGTGAAAGTAAGGTGATCGTGTTTATATCATCAGGGTCACTCTAGTCTGCCTGAGGAGATAAAACTCACAGTATCATCGACTCCTTTGAAGTCTTTCTCTCTCTTTTTGTCCTTGAGTTGTACCTGTTCTTATACTAATGTCTAACTTTCTCACTGTGATATTTTCACCAGAGTCGCTCTTTTGGTTTCGGTTCTCTCACCCCCAGCAGATTTCTGGGCACGTATCCCTCGCGGTCATTCAGGCGCGCCCACCACCACTCTGTCTCAGTGTCGTCATGGCGACGCACCACAGTGATAGCATCACCTTCGCTGAAGGAGAGCTCATCAGACTGCTGGGCTGTGTAGTCCCACAGGGCATAAACTAAACCTTTGTTCATCACACCCAACTTTTCCTGCACACCTGTGAGAGACACAACGATGACTTTAGACGTTTACCTGTGCGATTATGGTAATTGCACACGCAGGTGAGTGCGTCTGTATCTTCCTACCGTAAAGGAACTGGGAACACTGGGTGTAGCCCTCTTCCATTTCTTCACATTTGTCCGCGGCTGTTTCCACGTCGCTGATCGTTGTGGCAAAAATGGCCGCCCCTGACTCCACCAACATCTTGCAGAGGTGGACGCTGTTACATGAAGCTGCACAGTGCAGCGGGGTCCTGTGAAGACAACAACATTAAAAGGGACCTTGCAAGGAAGAAAAAAAGGAAATTTGACGATATATTATGTTACTGTAATTGCAATAAAGATCTTTCGTAGATCTAAAGCAGAGTCAGCTGAGCTTTTAGTTGCCTTAACTCGCTTGATCAAATTTTGTATGACTGGCAGAGTTTGTGACTTCACAGCAAAAAAAAAACAAAACAAACTGTTAGCATAGCAGATATCCAAAACTACCAAACTACTGTCCCTTTGCTGTTAGCTTCCTTCACAAATAGATTCACCCATAGGTGGGTCTGATCCAGCTTTATAAGCCAGTATTGGGCTCATGAATTCCCCTTATTATTAGGACTATCCCCTCTTTTTGATATCATATTGAGCTAAAAGTAGAAAAAACTGCATATACCAAGCATTTAGAGCAGTATCTGAAATCTGAAACGTTGCCTATGTTTAATATGAGCATCGCAATTCGGTCAGTATATGCAGTCCTATGAAAAATGAAGTACACCATTACCGTTTGTTTCCATAGGAATTAGAAGGGTAAGCGTTAGCACCTTTATAAAAACAGAACGAGACACCAGCATATCAGCACAAACTCCTCGTACCAGCTCTCAAGCACAGTGGTGGAGGGATGATGATTTGGGCACCTTGTAAGATTGAGTTACCAAGGGCTTCTCTGTATACCAAAGTATTCTAGAGTCAAACGTGACAGCTGAAGCTTCACTGAAACTAGGTCATGCAGGAGCACGATGATCCTAAGCACAGCAGGAAATCTACAACAGCTGCAATGGCCCATTCAAAGTCCAGACCTCCAAAAGAAAGATTGGGTCAAAATTCCTCCACACTGATGTGAGAGAGTGATGAAATCCTACAGAAAACAATTTCTCCAAGTTACTTAGTTTAGCTGCTAAAGGTGGTTCTGCAAGCTACTGAATCGTGGGCTAGATTTTTTCACAGCACTGCGCACATTCCATGTGAGAGGAAATAAAGAAAAGGATTAGGTCCTCCTTCAACATGAACATTTCTCTTTTTACCAAAGTTCATTCACTTCCAATCAAAGAAAGAAAGAAAAGATGTTCCTGTAATGCATTTTAAAACAACTACAGTTTAAATTAAACTAACCACGAAAGAATCAAATGCATCAGTAATTAAATCAAGCAACTTGTGGATACAGAGCCTAATTGCATATTGTAATCTCCTCCTTCAATACTGCTAAGGCAGCTGAGTCAAAATGAATTGGAGTCAATTATCTCTGTCACTGCTGCCTCTGAGCCGAGCTCCAGCACCGCCACCACAAAGCGTGCTCATTACTCAAACTCCCTCAAGTCCTTCATGCAGCCGCTGCTCTGTTATTGGTCTCTGTATTACTGCATGACGCACAGACCGAATGAAGGCACTGACCATCCGTCACTGTCGGCTGCGTTCACGTTAACTCCAAAGTCCAGCAGGAACTTCACAATATGGTGATGACCAGCACAGACGGCGTTATGAAGAGGTGTTATGCCTTCGTCGTTGGGCATGCTGGGGTTTTCCACCTGAAATAAAAAGAGATGCGTATAAAGAAATATTAGACTTGGAGAACGCCGGAATAAGTTATTAGCTGCTCACCTCCACAACGGTGATATCAGCCTGGAGAAGCTGAGAATGATCTCAGTGCAAAAGTCAGGAAACAACATGTTTTGAGCAGGTTGAAAACTGTTGAGTCTCACAGCCTCAGAGTGTAATAATATCAAACTGAGCTTTTTGTGGATCTGACTGTTTCCTTGAGAACATTAACTTCAGTTTAAAGCCTAAGAAGTCAGTAAGGACTCTCTTCTCCCGTGAGTGATGGCAGGGTTTCCATCGAAAGATGTGAGGCTCTGTTTTCTCTGCTGCTACAGAGTGCATCCCCGACTATAACTTGTACAGTTCCCTGCTGAGACCTCCTCTCTACTGGCACAGATTAAAGGGAAGTATTGTCAGGAAGGTACTGAAAATGCTTTAAAACTGCCTGGTAAATGGCAAATTTGTTGAGGCAGTCTGCATGTGGGTGTAATTACTGGCATGTAAAAATATTACACTGTTGCATAACCCAATGTTTTTTTTAATGCAACACAAAAAAGTAACCTTTACAAGTGTAACCACATTGTGTGATGATTTTCAGCTCTGCTTAAAAATTATCTCAAAATCTGAAGGCTCTGCAGAAGTTTCCCTTGTCTTCTAAGAAGACCAACTTTCCATAGTTGACCAGCTGCTACCTCGCACTTCAGAGACTATTTGTTCAACAGGACTAAAGAAAATATCATCAGGACAGCTTCTGAGTTCAAATGCACTCGTTATTTTTTTAAGTTTACTGTTGTATGACACAAGATTTCTGTGGTTTAGGTCATTCTCCAGATGCAGATCATATCTACTGTCTCTTTACAGTAGGGCATATCTCAAGCCTCATCACTCATTCTGACACATTTCAGTGTCTTCACTACAATAAGTTTCTTCTTCTTCTTCTGGGCTCAGTGGGATGCTGGATATCGGCTTCTGGCCCAAATCCTAAATGATAGCGATCCATTCGTGTCTCATCAGCGCTCCAACCTGATCACAGTCGGTGTGCTTCTGCTTTTTAATCACTGACCACATCAAAAATGTCCTCAAAGACCTGTCTTGATGCCTGCTCAATCATCCAGGTAAGAGCATCATCCAAACCGACGGCCAAACTGAGGTCACTTTGATGAGTGATGAAACTGAAATAGTGCTTTCAAATGTCTGTGAGTCAGTTTTCTTGTTTTAGCTTCTGCGTTTAGGAATCATTTGGAACTATGGCTGATGTAGTTATAGAAATAAATTATATTCAACTTAATTTTACCTTTGCAAAGCAACACAGTAATCTTTGCAAGTATGAAAAGTGAGACAGTGTTATAAGAGCACTATAATTGCACAACATCATGTTCTGATTTACCTCATATATGATTCTCTGCACCAGGTCAAACTCTCCCTCCAATGACGCATCCAGGAGAAGAGCCAGAGGGTTAAACTTGACTCTCAGGCCGTGACCGGTTCGCTCTGATGACGGCTTCTTCAGGTTGGTTCGCTTTACCTGCAGCAAACAGCATAAGAGAAAGAAAATGAACCTGGTGTATTGTTGTGTGACAGATGCCCAGGTTTAATGTGTATGCTTTGTGTTGTTGTATACATACCTTAGGCAGAGTGGGCGGGGCAGGAGGACATAGTGAAGGAGAGATGTGGCCAACTGAGTTTTGAGCAGGACTAGAGCCTCTCTGGTTGTTATTATTTTGGTCCTCTGGTCTCTCAGGTACAGGAATCGGGCTTGATTGGGTCGATGGTGAGACGCCGTTGCCAGTCTCTGCCACTGCTGTTGTCTCTTTGGATAATTCTGTCGTAACTGCAGGAGGAGACGAACGGCGGGAATCTGAATTCAGGTTTTGGGCTTCACTCTCTGCGGCTGCTGCAGCGACCTGTTTATCTCCACGTTCTACGTTTCCATTAGCTGAATGAATGTTGTCCATGTCTCCCAAAAGGCAGTCCGGTTGGTAGAAAGTGTTGCCTAGAATTAAAGAAGGAACTTAAATCTATATATATTTAGGCACACAGATGTCACCTGACCATCATATGTCGGTGTCTTACCTGAGCTTCCCTCCATGCCTCCTGCTAATGTGTTGAACCTGCAAAAAAAACGGCAAAAACAAATTACATTTTTACATTTTGATTCTGTTTCTGTCTTAAATTCCTGAAAGTTTTTTGTTTGTCCTGGTGCAGTTAAACATGTGGTAGCACCAACCTCTGGTAGAGCAGTTTTTGGATGTTTGGCCCCTGGGGGCCTTCAGGTTCAGTGATCGAGCTCCGTTTCTTGAGGGGCCGCGGCGCGTTGCTGAAGCGGCGGCGGAGAACCTCCAGGTCTGCATCGCTCTGGTATCGGAGCTGAGAGTGGGCTGTGGGGGACAAAGCTTTAAAGCTACTTTCTTCTTTTGTCATTTGTTCTTGGCAAAATGTATTTTTTTCTGCTCCTGTTTCTTAGATTGTATCTTTTTTCTTTTGCTGAAATTATTCCCAAAAGCTCTTCAGGATAGAGTGATCTGTGACTGATAAGCACACTACCATAACTTAATGAGAACTTTCTTTAAGACTTACAGTATAAAAAAGATATAAATGTGATATTCTGGGATTTAAAAATCTGGTCCTGCTTTTAATGATTTCCAAGGTGTGGGCTACAACTCAAGCGGGCCAAGAGAGATAGATTTTTTAAATGTCTTTTTTTAACATGTTCTCGCATCTTATTTTTGTTATCAAGGGAAAAAGTTAAGTACAAAAAGATCTAAATGTATCATTGGAAAAAGAAAGAATTAAATATATTTTATTTGGCTCACGTGATTAAAGGTTTGGGTGTGTTTCAGGAGATTTGGAAGCAGGCTGCAGTTTGAGAATGGCTGATTTAGCTCTTTCTAAGGAAGGTCCTCTGACTCAATTCTAGGGCTGCTCCCAGGAAATCAATGCTTGACTGAACAACTGACATAAAATTTGTGGTTAAATGATGAAGGAGGCTGGAATCTGCCTTAGTAAGAATAAAAAGCTAATAAGAAGAGTATCACTCAAAGAGACCAGTGAAGACACGGGGAATTTATGAAACTATGCGAGTAATATTTCTGCAGCCAGTGTGACTAAGTGACTGGGTTACTGTAATAAACTTTAAAGTGTGTAGACATGCATTTAACACCCAAACAGCAAATAAACAAATGCATTTTTTATAGTTCAAAGAGCGTTAATTTATACATCTTTTGCATATCTAGATTGCTTGAAATGAGCTTTTTCAATCCTTAGTGTCGTATTTAACATGATGTGACATCTTTTTCAGTGTGCAGACAAATATACTTTTTTTTCAGCACAAAGTTTGGCCTAAAATGTGACAGTGCATTAAGTGCTGCTCCATCATCTGCCTCCATCCTATCCCTGGCTATCATCTGTCACACCAACCCTCTGCATGTCCTCTTTCATTACATCTGTGAATCTTTTCTCTGGTGTTTCTCGTTTCCTCCTGTCGAGGTCCAGCGTTCAGCATCTTTATCACTCTTCTTATTTTAACACAAAATGTGTTTTCTGGTATTAAACACATACAGGAGAAACATTTTAACAAAGAAAGGTAACATTTATTGGTGATTGGTTGCACCTACCAACTGGGGTGAGCTTAGTGGGACTGAGGGGACGAGGGATGTTGTCCACACTGGGTGGAGGTTGAATTTGGCCCTCGCCGCTCTCTCCTCCTTCTCCTTTTCCTCCATCTTTATCTGTAGCTTCCTCCCCTGATATTTTTACTCCTCCTCCTCCCCCCTGGAGGAAAAAGACAGGGGATGGAGAAGTGGAGGAGGAGGGGAGGATGGGTTTACCGTAGACTGTGGAGAGACAGGAAAAAGGATGGGTTATTGTTTTTTTTTCATCTGCAGAAGCTGTCAAACTGTCTAAACAAGTAATTGCTGTTTAATCACCTGCTTTGACAGTAGCCCTGTTGCTCAGAGATCCGTAGTTTTTGGCCTGAGGCTGCTGTAGGTACATGCTGTAGATGGAGCTGCTGTTCATAGTAGCAGGGCCCTTCCTGGGGGACTGTGGCCTGGAGGGATGGTCCGGGACGTAGGGACGTACGGCCACCGCCGGAGGGGGATCTGTCCGCTCTGTTTGTGGGGACAGCGGGGAGGGCTGGGAGGTGGTGGCAGAACCTAAGTGCAGAAACAGAAAAACAAAGTTATACAATCAACAGGACTGAAAGAAGAAGAAGAAAATAAGCTTTTATTTTAATAAATAAAACTATTTATTACCTTGGCTTGAGTTAGGAGGGACAGAAATACGGTGCTGTATTTGCTGTGAAGAGGGGGATGATGAATGGGGGGATGAGGCGGCACCGGATCGAGGCCAACCCAGTGTACCAGGGGCAGAACGAGGCAGGGAGCTCGTGG